ACGGCGAAGCCTCGGCGTATACTGCACCCCCGTTACAGACCTTGAATGAGAATCGAAGGGCAAGTCGCGGATGAGGGTGCGCTGAACTTCCTCGCGTCATCTTTCCCGACGATTTTTACGTTGGTTGCGATAGCATTTCCGATTTTCCTCCATTCCAATAAAATCGACGTTCCGTCTATTCGTTCGGAGAAGCTTATCGACTCTGTTATCCTAATCTCACTCTATTAGGATTCTATCGAATTTTATTATTTCCACATTAATCCTTCGATTTGTTTCTTTAATCTTCATTCCCAGTTTCTTTTCAGTTTTACGTATCTTTCTTTGCATCGTTTTACGCCGGTGCGTTGGGTTTTAGACGAATGGATTTAACCTCGCAGCTTTTGGGTCAAGCGAAATATCGAAGAAAGTCGACGTTCTCGTAAATCGATAGACAGAACAATCCGTTTGTCCGTGGCGAAAGCTCGACCATTATCGATGAAACAGCTTGCGAGAGGCTTTTCTTCCGGATGAAAACCCATCGTTTCAACTGCTTCTAAACTGGCCGGGCGATACGTATAATTCCAGGACAATTTTGCCTACTCGGTTCCAATATATTTGAAGTTACGAACTCATTTGCAATCTCATTTACAGAATGATTAACGACAGCAGTACAATAACTACATTTTTATTCGACGAATTATTAAACTGCGGATTTCTTATTCAAATCCGTGTACTTACGAACGCAATAAAAAAAAAAAAAAAATGTAAGTCCGGTGGAAAATCGTTTTATCCGCCAAGCATTAATAGAAGGCATTAACAATTTGGGCATTTTATATCTTCTTCGTACTGTATGCTGTCCAGTTTTCCACCTTCAAATTTCCTATAGATACGTAAAAATCCGCAGTCTACCTATTAATCGGTATTACTTAAGAAAAAAAAAAAAAAATATATAAGAAACCTGTGCAGAAAGGGTGAAACCAACTGCAACGTACCAGCCCCTAGCGTCGTGGTCTGAATCGTGAATCCTGACCTTAGCCTTAGCGCGATGTTCTTGGCCTGCCGGTCGATCCGCGGCGCTCCTCCTGCTTCGCTGGAAACAATACAGGAAGCCGGTCGAAGAGACAGACGATGTCATAGAGAGCAGTTTGAATGTTGCACTTTATCGATTGCGTGGTAGACGGTGCGTTGCTATGGTTACACCTATACACCCCTAAATCCACCTTCGGCCCTCTAGGCTCGTGCTCGCCCTTTCACGGGCATGCAGCTTTTATGGGGTGGTTTACGATGCATCCCCCAATCAGCCCTTCAAGGCTACGCTCTCGTTCGTCCAGGAGGATCCTGATCCTCAACAAAGGTTTGCCTTTGCCAGCGTATCGCGATGCACGCACAAAGCGCGACATAAAACCAAAGTGGGTGCAGCCCTCGGTCCATAGACGCGTCCTTCGCTCCTTCGCCGTGGAACGCGATTAAACTGCGATCATCGTAACAAATTCGAGGGGGTAATTTTCAGGAAGCGTAGCTTCTCGCCGAAAGAGGAAGCGGCAGAGAACGGGGGAAGAAGGAGCGGAGACGCGAGCCTTTTCGAGGCTTCTTCCGCCATCTTTTACCCTCGTTTCATCTACGCGTGTATATGTAGGTGTGCAAGCGTGGAAAGAGAAATCGAAGTTGCTTCGCGAAACTACCTCCCGGGGGCGTCCTCGCGTTTCCAGCGCGTCGCGACGATTGCGGAATCGTTACTGTAAATTTCGGCCATCTCCGAGCTACGCAGGCACTCGCCTGGTTAATCTCTCGTAGATGGTTACTTCGGTTGCTTCGGGCTGTTTGAGATAGCAGAGAAACTGTTTCTCAAGCGTCTAATAGCTTTTATTTAAGGTTCTTTGCGCAGGATTGTTAAACGAGTCTTGTCGAAAAGTTTGGTAATTATTAGGATTCAGGGAGATTCGACTGGCGAATGTTCGGTGGTTTCAGCACCTTGCAAATAGGCAGCAATGTTTCTACACTGTCTGATCGATGACTTCTATTTAACGTTTATCGTGGCAACTTACTATCGATCTTATCGAATTTGTTATTAAATTTAGAAGAATTTCCCTGTTTAATGTATCGCAAATGGTTATATTAATTGCTCGAGAACGTCCGAAAGTAGAAGAAAATAATTGCAAAGTGCTTTAACCATCTGTATATAGCGATCTCGTTGCACACGAGTTACTGTCGAGGAATCCTATCAAATTGTCTAATAAGATTTTTAGTTCTCAGCGATTTGTACGTATAAAAATCACTGATCTCTTAAACGAAAAAAAGAGCAGATTTCACGAAAGAACCCTTGCTACATTCAGCCAAAAACAAACGTTAAACCAAAACGAAAAGAGGGGAAACAAACACGTAGCACGCGACGTATATTATCAAAGCAGAAACCTGGAAGGAACTCGAGCGAAGAAAAGGGGGACTGCAAGGCACCCCAAAAGTCTGTCAGTGCGGACCACAGCCGAGGGGTGCTGAAAATTAAAGACGAATAACGGCGCACGTGTCTCTAGGCCGAGTGAACAAAGCGTCGCGATCGAATTAGGAAGCGTCTTTGTTCACAGAGACGCAAGGCGTTGAGGGTGTCGCGGAAAAGGGATAGAAAGTGAGACAGAGAGGGAGAATGTAGCGACCCTTGGTTTGCTCAGGGTCGAGGGGCTGCGCTGGTCCGTCTGGAGGGGCGGCGGGACGAAACGGGCGGTTGAATATATCTCGCGTCGTGTCTCTCGCTCTTCCTCTCTCTGTCCTCCTCTTTCCATCGCCCTTCTGGTGATTTCGAACGCCGAGGGTGCAAAAAGTTTGGAAATTGGGGCGCGACCAAGT